AATTGTGGCCTTTCATTGTTTTACATCACTCTTCACCTGTAGCCTTTGTGTTAGGCTGGGCTCCATTCCTGTCCTTCGGGAACTATGATGATTGGCTGGCTTGTTTTCCGTTTGGGATTTTATGAATACATGTTACCACTTCCTGTGAAAGTGGCCCCCCTCCCAGTAGACTCCCGAAGTTGCAGGTGTAGACAGTGTATTCATTTTAATGGATTTTTAAAAATGGATTTAGGGTTTTGGGGGGCAGTAGTTATAGTTGAAGATAGTGCTGTGGACATAGGATAAGCATGTGTTTCTGTGGAGTATATTCATAGAAATGGAATTGTTGCTTTCTAGAATAGGTATACATGAGTTTCAAAAAAGCGTGGGCTTGAGGGACGTGAGCATTTGGTGGCTGAGAACCATTTCCGTAGCTGGCCCGCGGGGACAGATGGATGAAGGATGGAGGAATGGGGGAATGGAGGAACAGAGTCCCAGGCTGGTCAGTGATCAGTTTATTTCTCTCTTCTCCAATGAAGTTCGATCTCTCCCCTTACAGCATCTCTCCTCCTCTCTCCCCAGTGTAGTTCTTCCTCTTCCTTTCCCTAGCCTCCTTTGACCTCTTCCCTTGCAGCATAATAATTTCTCTTTTTTTCCCTTTTTACACACTGTCCTCCCGTTGTTCATTGATTTGCTCGAGCAGGCCCAGTAACGTCTCCATTGTGAGACTTGTTAATGTGTTTGGCATATCGAATACGTCACAGAGAGCTTGCTAGACTTTGCCATGTGGGAGAGATATTCTTGGTAGCTTGCCAGGATCTCCGAGAGGGGCAGAGGAATCGAACTCGGGTCAGCCTCGAGGGCCGCGTGCAAGGCAAATGCCCTACCCCTCTATCGCTCCAACCCTCCTAACTGCATAGTTATATTGAAATCATGAAGTTTGAGGGTACGCATAGGTGGGGTTGAATATTGTCATAACAACAAACATGTAAACCACTCCTTCAGGGAAAGTTCTAGGAGATTAGCTCAAGGACAAGATCTCATCAGAGGGTTCAGCACTCCAGATTACTAGGAAATCTGTTCAAGGGTAGGATTCCACCCACGGTGTATTGCTTTCTCCTTTCCTCTGCTAGTAATCCATTTATACAATCATAATAAATTTACATCTTATAATATTTCTAGTCATTCTGTGTGGACACAGTAAGAGATATATTAAGGTTAAAGGTTGGCTCTTCCTGGGGACATCTCACTGTATGTCCCAGACTATAGTCCTCAGGCCAGGTTCGTCTTTCCTAACCCCAGCAGTTTCCTTACTCAGTTACTTCTTTTTGGATCATGACAGAGTTTGTTTCATGACCGTGCTCTTATACTTATGGCGTTTAGCTTGGCCCCTTTTGATGCCAGGGTAGTTTACAGCTTGCCCTGGGTCCATCCTTGTCCCTTGCTGGGACCTCCTTTTGGGGCTGCTAAGAAGTAAGGGCAACGGAGGCTTAAGTCAGGTAAATATGACAGATGCCCAAGAGTAAATTTATCTGCAGTCAATTAACTCGCATGTTACAGAAGCGTAGCATCAACTTCTTCCTGTGTCTGTATAAAAAGGACATTGCAAAATAAACCATGAAGGGACATAAAAGGAAGAGAAAAGCAACATAGGATTATTAGTGATCAGGAGCACTGTTGTGGGAGTAACTCAATAAGCCCAAGCTCCCTGTGGAAGGAGCAAGGACAAACCAATGTTATCCAGCAACTATATTTTCAGTTTCACTAGGTGCTGAATTTCCTACCATACCCAGAGATTTACATTCCCACCAGCAAGCTGCGAGAGAATTCATTCCTTAGTAGCCCTCTGTACTTCCAAGGACATTTGATTTAGATTGTTCGGCTGAGTGTAGTAGTGTTCCTTGAATTGTGTTCATCTCAGGACGGGTGATGCTGAGTATAGTTTAGATGTCTTTCATTCACTAGGTAACTGCCTTTTTTATTTTTATTGAACTTTAATTTGGAGATAGTTTAGATTCTTATCACTGTCACTGTCCTCCCATTGTTCATTGATTTGCACGAGCGGGCCCGCTCGTCTCCATTGGAGACTTAGTTGTTACTGTGTCTGGCATATCGAATACTTCATGGGTGGCTTGCCAGGCTCTGCCATGCGGGCGAGATACTCTCGGCAGCTTGCCGGGCTCTCCGAGAGGGACGGAGGAATCGAACTCGGGTCGGCCATGTTGGCTGCGTGCAAGGCAAACGCCCTACCGCTGTGCTATCGCTCCAGCCCTTTTAGATTCTTATGTAATAATTAATATATTCTCTATCCAGTTCCCTATGGTGGTATTATTTTGCAAAGTGAGAGTAAAGTTCATAATAAATATTGGCAGTGATATAGTCAGATACAGAACATGTTTTATCACTAGAAGAATTCCTCATATTACTTTTTGTTTTTGGCCTACACTCGGTATTATTTACTACTCGTGGCTCTGTGCTCCTGGGTCAATCCAGGTGAGGTGGCAAGGGCTGACTGTAGGGCTCCTTGAAAAGCTTGCCTTAGCCATTGAGCTGGCTCTCAGCTACTCACTACTGTGTTACTTACATACGGCTTCTTTAATTCCTGGAAGCCGTTTGTTTATTTCTATGATTTAGTCATTCATGAATGTTGTTATGTGAAATCATAAATACTTGTCTTTTGGAATTGGCTTTTTTGGCCAGGGTGTGTAGAGAACTCTTTTCTTCCGCTTTCCCTCCCCTTTTCACTCTTCACCCAAGGTATGAATTGTTTTATTCTTAATGATTATGGTACAAGAATGATTAGGAAATACTACTCTTATTGCTGCTAGTTCCACTTGTAAGTCAATAGGCAAACATGTTTGATTTTGTAAAATCTTGGAATGAGTGTCTTGCTGCAACTGGAGTGTTAAGCTATTCTTTACCTCTCTTGTTGTATGTACTTGGAGTAGTCCCATCTCTTAGAATGAAAATAAAATTATACCTAGCCCAATACACTGGCATTTGTTTCACATATCACTAATTTGTTCCTTTATATTGTGGACTAATATTCCTTGGATGCATAAACCAAAGGTTTTAAAACGATTTGCCTCTCCAAGGACATCTGGGCTTTTTTTTGGAGATTTTTGCTCTCATAAAGCTGCTCTGGCTATTGTGTTTGGGTTTTGTGTGAGCATACTTATCAATTTCTTTAGAATAAGTGCCCAAGACTGCGGTTGCTAGAATAGTCAGCTTGTTTAGTTCAAACAAACTGCCAGTCTCTGTGCTGTCTAGCATAAACATCACTGGCTTTAATGGGTAGTGGGTTCCAAGCATCCTTGTGGCATTTGGTGGTGTATTATTTTCATCAGCCATTCTGATATCTCATCATGGTTTTATTGATAGAATCTTTTGGTTTCGGGACCACACCTGGAGGTGCTGCCAAGTGCTCCTCACTCTGCTCAGGAGCCCAGTCGGCCCAGCAGACTGGTTCTGGGGTCTAGTCCGGCCTCCCTGTCGACCTATTGCTTTGGCCACCATTGGGTGGTAGTTTGTATTTCCTTAATGCCTAATTTGTTTATCTGCTCTGTCCCCTTCAGTGGATTTTTGCTCATGTCATCTTACTATTTTTAAAAATCTCTTACATTTTGAGAGTTTCATCCTGACCTGTGAGAATTCTACTATTTTTCAAAATCTTCCTGTCTACCTATCTAGCAGACTCATGTCTTCCCTAAAATTTCACATTTTGTGTGCTTTGATAGCATTCCATTCTTCAGTATCTTTGTTCATATTGATCATATTTTAATTTCTTATAGCAATACTATGCTCAATAAATACAGCTTCATATTTTGATTTTGGGCTGGAGTGATAGCACAGCGGGTAGGGCATTTGCCTTGCATGTGGCCGACCCGGGTTCGATTCCTCCATCTCTCTCTGAGAGCCCAGCAAGCTACCGAGAGTATCCCGCCTGCATGGCAGAGCCTGGCAAGCTCCCCGTGGCGTATTCGATATGCCAAAAACAGTAACAACAAGTCTCACAATGGAGACGTTACTGGTGCCTGCTCGAGCAAATTGATGAACACCAGAAGGACAGTGCTACTGCTTCTATCCCCTAATTTTGATTTTGTGAGTTTTTTGGGCAATACTTGTGTTATACGCAGTTTGGTACTGGGGCTGCTCCTGCTGATGCTGAGGGAGCATCTAGTGCTCGGCTTGAACCCTGGCTGGGCTTGGGCATAAAGCCTCTACTCCAGCCCTGGAGTCATCTCCCTGCCCAGGTTTTAATTTTTAGCAATTATTACTGTTATCTCAGGTATTTAAAAATTTTAATTTAAAGGATTTTCTTTTACATGCAACATTTATAAATAAAAAACCTTCAAACAAATGTTTTCCATCTAAATATTTGTCATTAAGATTCCTAGGTTGATATTCTGTTTCTGTGATGAATTTCTGTAGCCCCTTTTTCTGGTAACTTATTCCCGTTTCTGTGTTGTGCTAATATGTGGTACTTACTGTATTCTTAAAATTGTATTTTAAGATCTATTCTTTATGATATCTAGGGGAACAAAAATTATTATATTTATATTTTACATTTTAATTTTTATAGTCCTAATATGATTTTGTCACATTGTTTGTCATGTTTGAATAACTTAGTAAAAGCAATTTTGGAAAATACATAGAAAAGAAATAAAGAATAACAATGCATTTCTTTGGCTTTATCACTGAACCTTTCTAGCAGTTATAGAGTATGGCTGTTTTGACAATTATTTTAATTTAAATTACACTTCATGTTCTTTCAGGAACTACGAAATTGGCAGTTATCATCTCACCTATGTTGTAACTTACAGTGTTTAATTTGCTCATTATATATTCAATGCCTGGAAATATCTTCTCCTAGAAATTGTGTTTTTATAGAGATGCCAGTAAAATAACAATATATACTTTAATTTTTAAATATGTATGATTACTCAGTAGCATCCATTTAAATGTGAACCTTAGTGGAAAAAGTTTATTGCATTAAACAAAAAAAGCTTTTATCTTTCCAGATTGCAGCAATTCTTCGGAAACGAAAATTAGACTATTATTTACACAAACTAGTACCTGAGATCCTGCAATCTGCTTCATTTCTGACTGCAAATGGGGCCTTGTATATGGCTTTCTTTTGCATTTTAAGGTTGGTACTCACAATCCATTGGAGGGTAATACAAATTCATTCTTGAAATGGAAACAAATAGATGTTTATATAAATGTCATTCAGGTTACTGAACATAATTTTTTCTCTCTGAAATTTTATCTCAAAGAAAGCTTGTTAAACCAAAAGTTGTCGGCCTTTTGACCTAACTTCAAAGTATGATTTTATAGCAAATCTATAGCAATTTTATAGCAAATTTTCTAAGCCCTGCTATATTTACCAGCTTGTTAAGAATTTTCTTTTCAGTTTCATAGCTGAGGGATCAAAGCAGCAATAAATGATATACATTAAATGCTTGTGTCTAGATAAGGCAACATTATATTTACTCCTGATACAAGCTACTGATGAAATCATTGGTCCTGATTCAGTCTTTTTTGTTGTTGTAACCCAGTGGTGCTCAGGACCTTCTCCTGACTCAGTGCCCAGGGATTACTCCTGATGGACTCAGGAAAACATATGAGATTCTCAAGATCAACCTGGGTCAGCTGTATGCCAGGCAGGTGCCTGACCCGCTGTACTATCCCCTTATTCAGTCTTATGTACATTATCTGTGTTGGACACTGCTTACAGTGCATCTGCAGTTAGAGTTCAGTTTGCTTAATGCTGTGATATATTTAATGTATTTATTAGATATTTAATTTTTGTCTGTTACTACACTGAAAAACCCAAACTAGGGTGCTGGAATGGCTAAGAACGCTTTGCATGCGACTAACTCAGGTTCAGTCTCTGGCACTGCTTATGGTCCTCTGAGTTTTTCCAGGAGTGATCCCCTGAGCACAGAACCATAGATAGCCAGTGGCCTCTTAGCATTGCTGGATGTGGCCCTAACCTCCTTCTCCCAAATAATAAAATTATTAAAAATCAATACAAACCTAAACTAGTACTTAAAAAAATAAAATTTCATTTTATTCTTTTTTTTCTTTTCTTTTTGGGTCACCCCTGGTGATACACAGGGTGTTTGTTACTCCTGGCTCACACGCTCAGGGGACCATATGGGATGCTGGGAATCGAACCTGGGCTGTGCGCGTGCCAGGCAAAAGCCCTATGCACTGCACTATCACTCTAGCCCGTTTCATTTTGTTCTTAAATTAGCATTACTCAGTGTTGCCCAAACTAGTCATGAAGGTGTATTTTAATTGCAAAAAGTAGTTTACAGATAACTTTTAGAGATCTTTTCTTTCAGAACGTTAATACTTATTATCCATGATATTTCATGGATAATATTGTTATTAATAAAATATTTTAAAAATAAGATATTATTAAAATAATAAGATTTATATTGTTATGAAAACCATAACAAATATCTTGAATATTTGGGTAATACAGTCTTTAGAAAGTTTCTAGTTTATGTTAAAGCTATAAAAAATGAAAGTCATTTGATTTTAAAAATTGAAATAACACATAATTGTGCAACATATGAACCTGTTTGGTTAAGTTGTGGAAATAGAAATTATTTATAAGGTATAATGCTTATTTGCTGATTTTAAGTTCTTTTTTATATTGGAGAGAGAACCACCTTTAGTCTTTTTAAGCTGTTTCTGATAATCTATTTCAGTTACCCATTTTATAAATGTACAGTATCTTTTGTAACTTAAAAAAAATCTAGTGTTCAGTTCAAAAGATAATTTTATATGCCATTATCAGTATGTGTATTTTTCCCTTATAATGTGCCATTTTGTAATTGGCCAATTTTTTTTCGGGTAATTTGTAATTTTTATGTGTTGCTGCTTCTTTTCTTAGGAACATATTGTCTTTCTAATATTTCTATTTAAAAACAAGCAAAACAACCCAGGAACTAGTTATCACTGTGCCTGTGATCTGTGCATTATTCTTTCAAGGGGTATATTCTAATGTATGATAAATGATATTAAGTGCTATGAGAAAAGTTATCAAGGGTTATAGAAGCAAAAAATAAAAAACACTTGAATTTTGTTATGTTTTTGTGTTGTATGGGATTTTTTTTAAAATAATGTGCATGAATTGCTATGTGGTGATAGTTGTGATAGCGGCTAATAATTTCTGAATACTCGTTGCTACAAATGTTTTCTGTAGTTCTTATAGCAGTCTGAGATTTTAACTAAGGGATATATGTGCAGGGATCGTGGATTCGTGAAAGATTTGAGAGATAGTTACGTACAGAAAAATTTAAGGGGATGGTTTAATTTATGGAGTGAGGGTGGAGGAGAGGCATGAATATCTCAAAGTATTATACTTAAGTAAAAGATAGTTTTAATGTTGTTTATCCAGGAAAAGAGAGAAGAGAAAGTTCTTGGAGTTAGGGGAAGGAGGTAATAAGCTTGGATGCTTTCAGGCATGTTGAGTTTGAGGTACTGTGGGATATTTGGGTAGGGGTGGACCGAGAAAGGGGACTTCTCTTAGTTGGAGCTGAAATGACCAGCTGGGAATTTCATCATTCCAAATTTGAATTTCAGGAAGATACTTGGAAAATTCTATTCATGGAGTCCTGGCTTCGGTGCTGCTTTGCCTGCATCTTACGTGGCAATTCTAATTGAGAGAAAAAGCAGGTAAAATTTCTCATTTCTATTTACTTAAATGGAAATGTTTTCTACTTAAACTATAATTGTTTTCTGCTTATCATTTTTTTTGTCTTGGCATGAGTATTTCTACATATAATTTATACTCTCAAATATTGATAGAAACTCAAATTTTACAGTAATATTATATCTGTAAAAATGTAGGTCAGCATTACAGCAGAAATACTCATTGGTTAGTCTACATGTGCTAAAAATTAGTTCTCTGATTTGCCTTATGAAGACATGACATATTTAAATTCTAATTAAAGATCTTTTTTACAATGCTGGTAAACACTATTATGGATAGCACTGTAGCATTGTAGCACTGTCCTCCCGTTCATCGATTTTCTCCAGTGGGCTCCAGTAACATTTCCATTGGGAGAATTGTTGTTACTGTTTCTGGCATAGCGAATCCACCACAGGGAGCTTGCAAGGCTTTGCTGTGCAGGCGGGATACTCTTGGTAGCTTGCTGGGCTCTCTGAGGAGGCGGAAGAATCGAACCTGGGTCGGCTGCGTGCAAGGCTGCGTGCCTTACCCACTGTGCTATTGCTCAGTTAAAATTGTTTTCTGTTACTTAGTTTTGTAATTTATTTCAGGGTCACTGAATGACCTGTTAAATCAGTTATTTTACTTGAGGACCTCTCCGGCAATGTCCAGGGGCTCCAGGGGTCAATCTCAGCGGTGTTTGACAGATGGCCCAGTGCTGGGGTCCTGTAGGGCTGACCCCAGCTGTGCTGTGCGCTCATGTGTCCTGGGGATCAAACTCAGGGCTGTCCCACGGGCCCAAATCAGTGGTTTTTATCATCATCGTTATTGCTATTATTTTAGAGTCAAACCCAGTGGAGTTCAGAGGTTACTCCTGGCTCTGCACTCAGGAATTGTTCCTCGCGGGCTCGGGGACCTTTGGGGGATGCCGGGGTCAAACCCGGGTTGGCCGGGTGCAATACAGGTGCTTACCCACTGTACTATCACTCTGGCTCCTCAAGTGCTTATTTTAAAGGTGTTTTCTCAGTAAAAGTTTTATCAGTGTTTATTATTTATCATCTGGAAATATAGCATGTAAAATAATAAGATTTCTCTAAAATGCTCCTAAGTATTCTGTATATTATCAGGTAAGTAGGTGGAGCTTTTGCATACTTTTTTTGGATTGTTTCATAAATAATGTTTTTTTGTCACTGAAAATTGCTTCCAATTTGATCCCAGAGAATCAAGACAGGGCCATTTTTTGGTTTATTAAAATGTTTATGACAGCAGGAGGCCAGTACCAGAGGGGCGTGGTGTGCCCTGCCAGATCACACTTCCGAATTTCTGTAGTTCGGAGTTCTTTTTAGGCGACTTGTTCTTTGCCAGTCTAGTGTATGGCAGAAAACAACACAAACGATCCAGATTCCAGCTTTCTTGAGTTAGGGGGATGAGGGCTAGTGACTCAGACTCAGATGAATTTTCAGAGGTTTTCTTTGGAGAAGTATCTGCCTCACAAACTAAGACGATGGAGGGCTGTTTCTCCTTATTGCTCCTGGTGGGGTATAGTGAGGGACACCGAGTGAAGGACGCAGGCTCCCTGATCTGCCTGCTGCTTCTCGCTCCTTCTGCACTGGGCCCCCAGGTAGCTGGTCCTGCTTCTCCTGTGCGACTGTCCCAGCCTGCCACTGTCATGGAGCAGAGGACCTTGCTCTGCGGGGCGGGGCTCAGATTGTTGGCAGCAGGCTTTACTCACACAGTGAGAGAGTCAGATGGCCATGGAGGAGGAGACTACACAAGAAAAATTTGAGAATTTAGCTAAGTTTAAGAAATTCTTGGAGGAAGTTTGAAGTGAAGTGCTGAAGGGTGAGAAGTGAATGTGGTTTTCTCTGACTTCCTTGTTCTTTGGTTTGGTTTGGTCTTCTTGTTCTGTCCCACTTTCACTCTGCGGTTCTCTTAAAGAGAAGCGAAGAGAAAAGAAAAAAGAAAAGAAAAAATAATTATCGACAAGTGGTACTACATGGAAAGTATCATGCTAAGCGAAATGAGTCAGAAAGGCAGGGATAGACATTGAAAGGTTGCATTCATCTGGGTAACATAAAGCAACAAAATAGGAGACTAACACCTAAGAGTGGCCAAGATTAGTACCAGGAGGTTACTAGGTTATTAGCTCCATGGCTTGGAGGCCAGCCACACATGCTAGGGGAAAAGGGAGCTCAGATAGAGAAGGGAGCACCAAATAAAGGGTGTTGGGAGGATCCTCCCAGGATGGGAGAAGCATGCTGAAAGTAGACTATAGACCAAACATGATTGTCACCCATTGCCTCTTTTGCAGACCACAACACCCAATAAGAGAAAGAGAACAAAAGGGAATGCTCTGCCACGGAGGCAGGGTGGGATGGGGGGATGGGGGGTGGGAGGGATACTGGGACCCGTGGTGGTGGAAAATGGGCACTGTGGAGGGATGGGTATTTGATCATTGTGTAATTGAAACCCAAGCACAAAAATTTGTAAGTCTACAACTGTACCTCATGATATTTCACTAATAAAAATTAAAAAAAATTAAAAAAAAAGTAATTATTGAGGTTGGGGCTGTAGTCCGGCGAGTAGGGTGCTCTGGGTTCAATTCCCAACACCCTATATAGCCCCCTGAACCCTTTCAGGAGTGATCCCTGAACTCAGAACCAGGCATAACCCCTAGAACTATTGGATATGGCCCATGAAACAAGAAAACAGCAACGACAGCAGCAACAAAAAACCAACCAAAACAGACAGCATACAAACAACCAAAACAACGCGTGCCCCCCCCTCCAAAAAAAAATCCCCTACCCAAACTTAAGAATAGGTAAAGGTAAAGGTAAAGGCCCTCCCGTTGATCGTCGATTTGCTCGAGCAGGCCCAGTAACGTCTCCATTGGAGACTTTGTTGTTACTGTGTTTGGCATATCGAATACTCTCGGTAGCTTGCCGGGCTCCCCGAGAGCTTGCCGGGCTCTCCGAGAAACTTAAGAATATTACAAATATTTGTCTGGCAGTGAACTTTCTAGAGTCTAGAACTTTCTAGAGTATAGTACATTACAGTGTTTGGTACATAGCTTTCAAATATATATAGGTAGTTTCCAGCCCACCCCTGAAACTGCCTTCTTAGCAGGCAGAATATTTTAGATTGTTATTAAAGTAAAACGGTAATTGGAATAATTAAAAATGAGTTCATGTTTTTGTCTAATGTTCAGAATTATTATGATTTCTAAACTCAAAGGACTGGTGGATGGCATAGCACCAACATGGTCATCAGGATTGTTAGAAACGTGTTGAGAATTACCTACCAGTATTACAGAGTAATTCCAGATGTTCCTTCTGATCTGAGCTGTATGGCCCTGCTACTTCAGGTGTGAGTGGTTTGGCTTATTCCTACCTAATACCAGAAGATGGTGATGAATCTACTCAGGTTGTAGGAGGGTTAAGTGAGTTTAAAGGTTCAGCAGAGCTGACTCAGTGGCTAAGTGCTTGCCTGAGGAGCACAAGACAGCGTGTTCCAGTACTGCTACCTCTTGTGTGCTGGGTTGATCAGATTAGTACCCTCCGCTGTTTGTGGGTTTCAGCAGGAAGGCCCAGAAGTAGCTTAGTGACCATGAGTTCCTGCCTGAGAGCTGTGAATCGAGTATCTCTCCTTACAACCCTTCTGTCAGGGACCCCCAGAGAAGGGCCCCAGAGGGAGTGTCAGTGGCTCAGTTGTGCCCAGGGCAAGCGGGAGGTACTCCCCCCCACTGTGTGGATGCACAGACGCCGACTGACTCTACCACACGGTCTGTTCTAGTTCTCTGGCCAGGGAGATGTTCAAAGAAGAAAATAAAAAAAGGGCTAGACAAGTAAAAGTACTTAAAGCAACACCTGGCACATAATATCGTGTTAATATTATTATTACCATTAGCTATTTTTGCTGAGAAAGTTATTCACGTATGAATTCATTTCTGGTCAATTTTAAGACATTTTACTGTTTTTGAAAAATGATTTCAAAATGTTATTCTGTAATAAATTTGAAAGATGATTTTAGACCATCTGCTTCTGAAGTTACCTTGCTATTTTTGCTCTTAGCATCTGAATAAAAGGATAGTAGTTTCAAAGTTATTTTGCCTATTTTTAACAGAATGTTGAAAGGATTGCCTGGGCAACCATCACCTAGATTCAATAGTTGTTAATGGTTGACTATTTTTTTTTTAAATTTTTTTTTATTAGTGAAACACCATGAGGTACAGTTGTAGATTTACAATTTTTTGTGCTTGGGTTTGATTATACAATGATCAGATACCCATCCCTCCACCAGTGCCCATTTTCCACCACCATGGATAATATCCCCCCCACCCCCATCCAATGGTTGACTATTTTTACTTTAATTCTTTAGTATATGATTGTATGTGTGTATATATATGTGTTTTTTTTTAATACATAGCATGTATTATCTAGAATACAACTCTTTTTCTACATAAATACAGTACTATTATTACATACTCCCTTCCATCCTGTGCTGGTTTGTCATTTCTGTCCTGAAGCACTTTGCATATCTCGCATGTGCAACTTAAAGTTGATTTTTTATTTAGTCAGACCGAGAGTATTCGATATGCCAGACACAGTAACAACAAAGTCTCCAATGGAGACGTTACTGGGCCCGCTCGAGCAAATCGACGATCAACGGGAGGGCCTTTACCTAGTAGCTCTTTAATATGTGAATTATGCCCATCTTTGAGCTGGGTTGGGCATGTGCAGAGGAAGCACCTTAACTTCTATACTCTCGCACTCTATCCCCGCCTTTTTCCCCCAGAGTTTTTTGACTATTTCTTCAAGGACTGTTTCTTAGTCCTTGAAACATGTTATTGGAATTTTGAAGGGAACTGCAGTGAATCTGTATAAAGTCTCACTCAGGTGGAGTATCATTTTGACAATGTTAATTATTCCAATCCAGGAATGTGGAATATTTCTATTTTCTGGTCTCCTTTTCTATTTCCTTTAATAGTGACATAGTTTTTTTTTTT